TATTAATGGCCCCGATAACCAATCAATCGATCGGTCGATCGGTCGATCGTTCAGTCGGTCCTCAGTCGTCGGTTATCAGTCTTCACTTGGTTCTCCTCTCTATTTCCCACACGGTGAATATCCATGCACTGTAGATACCAGCACAAGAAGATGTACCGAGTATATGATTCCCGGTGCGATGTATACCTCCATTGTATGTATGTATGTATGTATGTATGTATGTATGTACATACGACTTGGACGAGGTTCAAAGAGAACACACCTATGTCCCTACCCACACAAGCTACCTCCCGAGTACCGAGTACCTAATACCTATGTAGTACATGTGTTACTCATAAGTAGATAGCCACGTCGCTTGGTACTTATTGAATCTCTTCCAGTCGTACAAGGATATAAGGGTACAAGGGGGATTTTACGACTGGCGACTGGCGACTGACTAATCGGGTAGCCTTGTTCTGTAGCCAAAAAAAGTCCAGAGGAATGGTTACCACAAAAACTCGTGCGATTGTGAGTTGTCCGCTTCTATAAGAAACGCCATTCCATTCCTTGACCCTGTACTGCGCCTTCGACCGCCTCGCACAGCACATGTCATTTTCTCTCATAAAAAGTCAATATTGACTCTCTCGACATTGAGATCCCGTTGCTCATTATAGCCAAACGCATTGACATTGTCGTCTATGCGGCAACCTTGGCTCCATACTTGGCTGCCGCGCTATCAAAGAGCTGGCTTTTCTCTTCCAAGTCTCTCAACAGCGCGTGCTCTGCGTCTCTCTCCCGTAGTTGTTGAAGTAGTCCTTGAACGTCCTCGGCCTTCTTCCCAACAACACTTGCCAAAACGACACTGTTTGCAATGGATTGCACATTCGCATTGGCCATGCCCACAGCTTGCTGCAATGCTGCCTCGGCCTCTTCCAACCTTCCTAGATGTATCTCGGAAACAGCTTGTCCCACCAATGCCGTGGGACTGGTGTTCCCTGGCGTAGATGCGAGTTCCTCGTAGACATAAAACGCCGACTGGTACTTCTCTTGCCCGCCTTCCCTAAGATTCGTCCAAGCTTCGGCTAGGTTGATGAGTAATGAATCCTGCGCCCAGCGTTTGGCAGCAGCAACTTCCTTGACAGCCAAGTCCGTCCGGTTCTGCATCAGGTGAATCTGTACCAGTAGAGCCACGGCTTCAAGAGAGCCTTGGTGCTTGGACAAGAGATCGACGGCTTTCACGTATTCACCCGCCGCTGCGAGGACGGTGCCAGAGCAGATCTGAACCACGGCATCCTCCGCATCAGATTCAGCCAGGGCCAGTGCTGTTTCGAGTGCCGCGGAGTGGTTGCCGGCCGCTTGTTGTGCCAAAGCAACTATTGAGCGGGAGGCAGCGTCTTGTGATTGTTTGAGGGAGGAGATGACGGACGAGGCATCGCCGATGGCTATTTGTGCGCGATATTTGAGTATTTGTGCTATGGTCTTGTTTTCTGCGGAGAGAGAAGAGCTGTCAAATTCGAGGACGGTCGGGTATGCGTGCGTGTAGAATGCGGTCGTTATATTGAGCAGTTCTGAGTGACGTGAAGTTAGAGCGTGAGTTCAGGACATGTGGAAGGGGTGATGTGCATACCGCCCTCGCCAGAGAAGGGATCCATGATGGTGAGATCGTGCAAGAGGTCGACAGAACAGGACAACAAATATGGGCTTGCGGAGACGACAATGTGGAATATGGTGAGCGAACCCCTCGAGAACTGTCAACTTCAATATACGGGGTATTGGTGCTGTCTTTATATGGCAGGTGCGGCGAGAACAATCTCCGCTTGCATGCATGTCCATCGCCAGCCTTGTGCCTGGATCCCTGTTACTGGAGACTTCAACCCACAAGGACCTCATTCACGCGGTCAAAGAGAAGCAGACGCTGTCCTCTTTTGTATTGCCGCCGGCGGCACAACATACGGAGCCCGACTTACAGAGTCTTCGAAGATAACACCCTCCCAATCGCACCCAGCCCCCACTCTCTTCAGCATGCCCGCGCCTCGGACCCCCCGCTTCAGCTTCGCCTACAACAGCATCCTTCTCGATCACCAAAAGATCCAGACGGGACGGGCCATGAGTCGAGTCAAGGCAAACTACCACCTGTTCCTCCGCAACCAGCCGAGAAAACCGCACTTCAAGATCCAAGACCTCGGGCCCAGAAGGAAGTGGCAGGTCCCCAAGATGAGGCAGATTGAGGATTGAATTGCAGCTGGATAGATCGCTGCTGTGGAAACAGGTGGCCAGGCGCGTGAAACGCACTTTCTACCTCTCGCGTCTCTGCGAGGGGGCGGGTTACAGCGTTATCGGATGGGTTCACGGGTATGATTTTATGAAAATGTACTTTTATTGGTGGCTACAGCGGGTTCAGGACATGTCAACGGAGGCTCTCCACTTTGGTAGTGAATGGGAATATATCTCTTCTTCTCGCTCATTCTCTTCCAGCTCATCCTCGACAGTTTACTCTTTCAGCGGCACGGTGTCAACAAACAAAGCCTTCGCAAAGGCCTCGGGATACCGAGCACCATGGACTTCGGCCGCGTCAATGACCTTCCGAATCTTCGCATTGTCCTCGGGAGTGATTTTGACATTCAATGAGGCTATGTTCTCATCAAAGTTCTTGATTCTCGTGGTTCCAGGAATTGGGAGGATGTCGTCTCCCTGGGCCATCAAGAAGGCCAGGACCAGTTGGCCCGGAGTGCACCCCTTCTCATCAGCCAGAGCCTTGATGTCGTCGACCAACTTGATATTCTTGGGGAAGTTCTCCTCGCTGAATCGAGGTGCAAACCTGCGGAAGTCGTCTGCTTCAAAATCGTCTCGGCTTCTGATGCCTCCAGTCAGGAAACCTCGTCCAAGTGGGGAATATGCCACGACGGCCACTCCCAGCTCACGGCAGGCTTTGAGAAGTCCGATCTGGGGGCTCTCAATGTCCATGGAGAAGGGGCTGTATTCGATCTGAAGCGCATCAATGTGCGCCACCTACGTTGAAGTGTTAGTGGGTAGAGGTTAAAGAGGTGAGCGCGCGATTCTTACCTTGCAGGCCCTTCTGAGAGTGTCGGCGCTGCACTCACTCAACCCCAAGTACTTGACCTTGCCGGCATCTTGCAGCTCCTTCATGGTTTTGACCGTGATCTCGATGGGTTGGTCGGCTTGCACTCTGTGGCAATAGTACAGATCGATGTGGTCAACACCCAACCGCTTCAAGGACTTGTCGCAGGCTGCCCTAATGTATTCTGGCTCGTTCTTGACCAGACGAGCGCCAGTTGCGGGGTCGACGGCGTTGCCAAACTTTGTGGCGAGAAAGATGTTCTCTCTCTTACCAGGGTTCCGCTTGAACCAACGGCCAAGCAGATCTTCATTGTCTCCGTAAATGTCGGCAGAGTCCCAGAAGAGCTCGCCGGCTTCGTAGGCGTGGTCTAGCATAGCATAACGTTCTTCGTCGGGCTTTGGTTTGCCATAGTAGGCGGAGAGACCCATGAGGCCGAAGCCTAGGGCGGTCACCTCAGGACCATTCTTTCCGAGCTTGCGGGTTGGGAGTTTTGGGGCCATTTTTGGGTTGGTGGAATTGCAGTTGTCTTGGTCGCAGGTGAGTTTGAGGGAGGAAGTGTTGGATGGATGGAATGATGTGGACGAGATGCAGTGGTCGATGGCGAGGGTTTTTATAGTTCATCAGTGTGCGGTGTTGGAACTCCGGACAAGACTCGAATTCCACGGACGCAATCAATCATAATCAGCGAGTGCATCTCTCGCACCGGGTTTTAGCCCAAAGGCCGTCGAAGTGTCTGTCGCCATCTGAGTTTCTCTCTTTCTCTCTGTCTCTCGCTTCTCCACCCCACCTGTCCACAAGATTGATAGTGATCGAGTGATGTCATGCATCCAGTGGCCCTGATTGGCTCCTTTAGTCATCCTCAAACCCGTCTCATCATGTATCGAATCCCCCACCGAAGAGCTGGAAACCCCCGTTCTTCCTTGTCCCAGTCGCGGCTTTAGGCGTTTGTCGCTCCCCTGTTTAATTGCCATCCATGACTAAGGATTGAGATGACAGTGATGCATGCGGCCGCCCTGCCCGCAATGATATGTTTACAGACTATTCATCCAACGGTGACTTCGCTTCCCACGAGATACCGCCGTCGAACTTAGAGAGGTTATTACTCAACTAGGCAAGGCTACGTCCACAGCCTGGTCATCAGCCCTATTCGCCATTTATAAACCTCGTTCCTCGAACTTCACGGTTTCCCATGCTTCCAACCAGGGTTCTTTCGTCCCCGGCCCAACTGCGCTTCCATACCACCATCATCACCATCATCATCTGTTCGGTCCGAAGACTATGCTACTGCACAATGACTAACAATATGGCCCGAAAAGATGCAGGATGTATACTTATGTGATGGCCTCGCGACTACACGGTTGACTGTACGTATGCGCACCTGTGTTATGTGATGCGATGGTGTGGGATAGACCCGTCACATAACCTGGGCGGATCGCGGAATTCGCACACAAGCGGTTGTCCTTTGGAGATACATATTATCATCTGATCCTGTTGTTCCGAGAGCATTCCGAGTCTGAAATGGTGGCCTGTGCGTTGAGGAGGGGAAACGATCGCTCACCCCTCAAGTCCCCCTTCGACCACCATTGAAGTATTCCGTACTACACTCTAGATGACCTGCCCTGACATGGTGCTCTGGTCATGGCACCAGTCTGGCTTTATTACTTAAGCAGCCATCGAGACCGCGGACAACCAGCTGCTAGCCGAGGAATAATGCGGGCTGCCGAGTCGCCGTGCTGTCGTGGCGATCATCTCAAACGCGGGGAACGGCCCGCAAAACTACGATACCTTTGATACAGTCGGGTCACCAAGCAGAGGAGCAACAACCGCGGATGTCGGGCCCGGCAGAGTAGGTCCTTTTTCGTATAATTACGGTCGCCCAGCAGAGTAAGAGCTCAGAAATCAGAGCTCAGGACAGCAACATCCACTGCATATCTTTGAAACCATGGCCCGTGAACACTTGAAGCCTTTTGGTTCACTTGACCCATTTGCGGAGCCTGCGTGGTACAACGCTCTCGACTCACCGTACTACAATGATAGCCACAGGACGTTCCGAAAGTTCGTCAGAGACTATCTCGAGACCAATGTTTTGCCCTATTCAGAGCAATGGGAGAAGGATGGCTTTGTTCCTCTCGAAGTGAGCATACCCACCAAAGGGTATCGCAGAGGAGTCCTCACTAACGGCCTCTTTTAAAGGAGAGAGTGAAGTATGCACGGTCAGGCCTTGCTTTTGCTGAGCTTCCGAAGGAATACAGACGAGGTATTCCGTTGCCGGGAGGGATTCCAGAGGAGCGTGGGTCGTTTCCGAGACTCCAGTTGTTCTAGAGGTTGATGTGGATGCAGAATGGGATATCTTCCACCAACTGATTCTGCACGACGAGACATCCCGAGTGCACGGCGGAGCCATGGGCGGACTCGCTGGCACATCTGTCATTGGCCTGCCACCCATCATAAAATATGGCACCCAAGAGCAAAAGGACAAGTACCTTCCGGGTATCTACACTGGAGAAACGAGATTTTGCCTTGGGGCCACGGAACCTACTGGCAAGGACCCCTTTGTCGGAAGGCTTGACATGGGCTCTAACATCCCACAGGTGGTTCCGACCTGGCCTCTTTGAGAACGACGGCCAAAAAGTCCCCAGATGGGAAATATTACGTTGTGAATGGGCACAAGGTGCGAAGAATCAACCCAGAAATGCAGCAGTCTCTGTCCCTAACGCTCGGCCACAGAAATGGATCTCCGGGGCTCTATCTGCCACGCATATGACCACTGCAGTGCGAACAGGTGGTCCTGGGAAGGGAGGGGTTTCTATTCTAGTTATTCCCACAAACTCGAAAGGATTTTCGGCCAGAAAGATCGAGAATAGCGGAGTCAATGCTGCGGGTAAGTTTGTAAAGTGATGCTGTCAGAGATACCTGTTAACGCCTCTAGAAACCGCTTGGGTCGATCTAGAGGATGTCCATGTGCCAGTCGAGAACCTCGTTGGTCCCGAAAACGAAGGCTTTCGGATTCTCATGCACAGTGCGTGACCCCTCAATGTTCTGCCACGGTCCTTGAACTGATTACCGGTGTAGATTTCAATTCGGAGCGGTTCATAATGGCCATCCACATGAATCGCAAGGCACGAGTGTGTCTGGAGGTTGCTCTAGACTATAGCCACAGCCGGATCACATTCGGCAAGCCGCTCATCTCGCACCAGATCATCCGCCACAAGTTTGTGACCATGGCGCGATACATCGAATCGCACTGGGCCTGGCTCGAGCAGATCGCATACCACATCAAGCTCAACGGGTGGGAAAGCGACATTGCGAGCAGGATTGCACTCGCAAAGATCCACGCTGGTCGGATCCTGGAACTGGCCAATCGAGAGGCACAGCAGGTTCTTGGGGGAGCGGGTTACCAGCGTGGCGGAGTGGGAGGCTTGGTCGAGCTGATCAGCCGAGATTTGCGGATGCAGGTTGTGGGAGGAGGGAGCGAGGAGATCTTGTCGGATTTGGCTCTGCGTCAGGAGCTGACTGCAGCGAGGAAGCGAGGGTCGATGTTGTGAGCAGCGGGGATGAGAGAATTGGAAAAGCTAGTGGGAGTTTCAGTATAGGACACATGAGGAACACTTTACTTAGTGGTGTTAATACTCGGACTCGTACAGTATGTTTGAGGTGTCTTGTTTGACCTCTGGACCTCTAGTACAATACCAAGCCGTGTCAATACGGGAGCCAGGTTAAAATATGGTAAGGGAGAAAGTTAGGTCTGCGGTAACTATATAAAACTAAAAATTAAAGCATATGCATCTACTGTGCATACCTCGTACTCGTACTCGTATCTATACTCTATTCAAACTACCCCTAACCACTGTTTAAAGGCAGTTGAGACAGTCTCGCACATACAAGTTTACACGATCTTCCAGAATCGCAAGACACCCCACGACCAAAGCGATCAAAGTCAGACGAACCGACTACCACCAGGTGCTCTCAGTTTACATCTTGCTACCTGTTCTCCTCCTAATTCTATCACTATTCTCCCCTCTCACCCACCCGTCCATTCAACCATTCAACCAACCATCCAATGTCTGCCCCTCCTCCCGCCTCTCTTACCTTGAGCCATTCGCACAACCTCGCCCGACTGATCGGCCCGACCCTCCTGACCATCTCCCTCGCCGAAACGCTAAACCCGCACATCTGGGCCACCAGCACCGCGTCGGCCGTCTTCCTCAACGGCGCCGTCGTCTTCACCGCGTCCCTCGCCACCGTGCAGGCGCATAGCCTCTGGAGATGGACTGCCCGGACGCAGACGCAGACGCAGACGCCGCGGTGGGCGATTCTGGTCACTCTGGCGGGCTGGGCGGGCGTGGTCGTCGGGTTGACGCGCATGCTCGCGCCGGAGAGGGTGCTGGAGGGCGTGAGACGCGCGGGCGCCGGGCAGGTCAAGGTCGCGGCGGGGGTGGTTGCGGCGTTTGGTGCCATTCTTACGGTTTGTGGGTATTGCTTCTGATATTCCTTTCTTGGCGAGGACAGCCTGTGGATGGATGGATGGATGCGTGGATGGACATGATGGGATGTGTGTCTAGACGCATGAATGTATGCAAGGTCCTTTCCATGGCATGTTACCTTACGTTTTACATTACGTTACATTACGTGATATCACGGTATATTGTATTATATCATATATCCTGACTGACTGCCTGACTGACTGACTGCCTGACTGAATAGGGAGACAGACAAGGCTACAGGTGACAGACTAGGAAAACCGGACAGAAGCCCAGATATTGGACATTCGATTGAATCAAGCAAGCAAACAAACAAGAAAGTACTGAATTGTCTTAATTATCCTTTTCAAGCAAGGCATCTGAGAAAGACAGCCAGACAGACGGAGTTTTGAAAGAGTGTGAGAGTGTGTGAGACTGAGAGAATACTTAATATTAATCTTGACCCATCGTCGAATGGAATCTAACTACTACCACCACGACCTCCTATATATGTACATACATCTCCTGTCCTTTCCATCTCCCCCTCCCCCTCCAGACAAGTGAATCTGAACATGGTATTATACTTCTATTCTGAATAGTGGATACATGTACTCGGTACGGATATCCTGAATGGCTGACTCTATCTCTATTCTATATCTCAATCTCGACCTCAACCTCAATCAACGCGGGAGGAGAGGTTCCTCCGCCCGCCTTCCATCTACGCCATACTATCTTACAAGACAGATCAAGCCTTGACAATCTCCTCGCTACGCACCTCGTTGCCCTTCTCGGCGTAGATCTCCTCGGCATCGTCGCGGCTAGTGCTTTCGCCCGAGGCGATGACATTGGCAGCGCCCTGGTAGCCCTTCTCGTGCACGATGCCGCCCTCGGTCTCCCGGAGAGCCTGTTCCTCGATCTTGCGCTTCTCCTCATCCGAGGCGTCGTACCATTGCGTGGCCACGTGCATGTCGTCGCCAAAGACGTGGCCAATCTCCTCGAGCGTGCGGCCCTTGGTCTCGGGGAAGAAGAGGTAGATGATCACAATGTACTGGAAAGGGTGAGAGCGTCAGTATGAATTTCAGGGCTCAAAAAATTGTGGGGGAGGCGTCAAAAAAAGAGAGAGGGGGGGGGGGGGGGGGTCGTGAAAGTGAGGGTAAGAGTCAGGGTTATGGCGAACTTACCACTGAGGATGGAATAATCAAGACTAGATAGAACTTCCAGCCAATCTTGTTCAGCGCAACCGGAGCAGCCACAAGGGTGACTTCGCTGGCAAGGTAAAAGGCCGACAACCCCAGCGCGACACCGGCAGGACGCAGATGGTTGGGGAAGATCTCGGCCACGTAGACGTACTGGGTGGCATCGATGAAGAAGCACCACCAGATGATGTAGAACCAGATGAAGAAGACGCCGGCACGCAGGCCAGCCTCGTTGGTGGTGTTAAGGAACGAGGCTGTCAAGGCGGCGAGGAAAATGACCGAGACGACACAGCCAACGGAGCCGATGAGCATGAAGTTACGCCGGCCGAAGCGGTCAATGTACAGTGCAGTCCATGTGTTGCCGATCAGAGTGAAGGTCGTCCAGCATGCGTTGAGCAGCAGCGGAATTGACCCGCTCAACCCGAGACTTGCATAGATCAACACGCCCTATATCAACCGTCAGCGACCAAATGTTTTACAGAAGAGACAACGACTGACATAGTTGGTCATCACAAAGATACCCAAAAATTGATTGCCCCACATGAGAACAGCGGCCATCAGGGCGCGTTTCCTGTTCGACGGGGTGCTGAAGAGCTCGAACCGGCCACGGGCCATGGTGGCGTCCATGTCGTACTGTTGCTCCATGAGCCAGAATTCACGCCGAGCCTTGATATCTTCAGGGTCGTTGGGGGTCCTGTGAAGTCGCTTGACCACGTCCAGGGCTTCTTGGCGACGGTTTTGCGAGAGGAGCCAACGGGGGCTGTAGGGGACAAGATTGCTGCCGGCCAGCAAGATCAAGGGGAAGACGACTTGGAAAGCGAGCGGGAATCGCCAGGCGAATTGGGCAGCAGGATCCGTGGCCGACATGTGGAAACAGGCGTAGCCGAGCCACCCTGCCAGAGCATAGCCGACTGCGTACATGATACCAGTGACGCAGACCATAGCGCCTCGAGTCTCTGTGGGTTGCATCGTCAGAGACAGCAGGGAAGATGGGGGCAGGAAGAACAGGTTACATACCTGGCGTGGATACCTCTGCCTGGTAGATGGGGACAACGCAGGCTAGAATCCCTGAACCCATACCAGCAACAAAACGCCCGACAAGAAACATTGCCATGTCGACCGCGCCAGCACACAGGGCGCCACCGACGATGAGAATGACGGAACCGAACTGCATCGTGCGCTTCCTGCCGTATTTGTCCGAAGTCCAAGCTTGTGAGATACATCCAGCGATTGCGCCGGCCGAGTTGACGCCGTTCAAGGCACCGATCATGTTGGTTGTGTGGTCATAGCCAGGCTCGCCCGCCGTGGCCAGATTGAAGTAGGAATAGAAGTTGGGCTGGCCGACGGTCGAGCCAATGATGGCGAGACCATAGGCTGTGGAAATGGTGCCCAGGGCCACAAACACCACGACCCAAAGGTTGTAATTGTTGACGATGATTTTGTTCAACATCTTGAGGAGTGACCAAAGCAAGAGGCTTGATTGGGAGAGGGGGGAAAAAAGAGGAAAAGCGAGACAAGCAACAAGCGAAGCATTAGGAGATAAGTACCCTGCCTTTGTATGTGTGTTATTATTCGGTTTCTCACCGGATCCGAAAGTGTTGATCCATCCAGGAAAGGGCTGACACGATCAACACGATCTCCAACTGTAGACCGAGGATAAGAGGGAAATGACCGCACGAATAGGCGCCGGTGGCGCCAATCACCTCGTCGTCCTCTGTGTCCCTGACTCAGATAAAAGGGAATCATAATCCGGAGGTGAAGTGCGTGGGTACCCAGGCTCCAGAGCAGAAGCCCCATGGAGAAGAGAAGTGGATAACAAAATCCACGCTATGCGGGGAACGCTGTGAGACTATGGGTCTAGGGCGAGGTGCAGTTGCGTGAGGTCGTACATGCAAAGGTATTGGGCCCAACCTTTGAAGAGCGCATGGTAAGGAACCACGGATCGGCGGTGATAACAACAATCCTTTGCCGCAGCCTTCTCAGAGATATACCGGAGAGAACCACAGCCGCATCCGAGATATAACCAAGATTTACGCACGGCGTCCTTGGCCAAAAAGGTTCGCCAGGATGCGGCCTTAGCAGCCACGCTGCTAAGCTCGGTATTGGCAAACTCTTGTTCGGAAACCAAGCCCCGTCTGACGGTTGGTAATGTGTAATCATGTGGCCAGCAGAAAAAAACCTTAGAGGATGAGGACCGAGGTTGAGCCTTTCATGACGAGTTAGGGGAAGTTGTTGGTGAGAGAACAGCAGTCGAGATACCAGGGATGAGGAGCAGCCGAGCAAGACCCCAATTGTGGGCACCGTGACACGTTTCTCTCGATTTTTCTTCTCAACTGGGATCTTTGCCGTACTCGAGCAGACGGTAGACACGGGAAATCTGGGAGAGGGAGCATAAAAGAGGGCGAGTTCCGGATGAAGTGAGCGATGGGATGAGGATGAAACAAGTTGAGGTTGAATAATTTTCCAACCCCAAATCTGCTTCTCCACAAAGAACAACGAGCCTCGCCTCGTCTGCACCTGCACCTGCACCTGCGTCTGTGTCTCCATCTCCATCTCCACCACCCCGGCCAAAATTTCCCCCAATGCCCCGACTTAACCAGGGCCTCCCCACAGGGCGTCCCATGCTCCTGGACACCTCCAACAAACCGCTTCCGCACCGCTTCGGCTTACCGAGTAGAACGTCCTGCCGCGAATCGCCGTTCTTGCCGACGGACTTTGCGGGGCCGGATATTGCAAAAGTCGCATGGCGATGGATGTTAATGAGTTGAGGTGTATGTATGTTCAGAAATTATGAACGAAACCCCCCCTTCTATCATATGATGTGTGATAGAGCATACTGAGAGCCATTGCAGAAAGTGATCCCCACCCATCCCGGCCTGCCATGTCTGCCGACCAGGATCCGCCCAGATACCCCGACTTGACCGGTCAGGTCGCTCTAGTCACAGGTATCGGGCAAGATGGCCCGCCCGAGGAGACGACGAACTGGGGCAACGGTGCGGCGACGGCGCTGGCTCTGGCGCGCAACGGCGTCAAGGTCTTTGGGTGCGACATCAACCTCGACGCCGCCAACCTCACCAAGTCGCGCATAGAGAAAATCGTCCCCGGTGCCGTCGTGGACGTGGTCGTCGCCGACGTCACCAAGGCCACGGACGTGGAACAGCTCGTCCAACAATGCATCTCGAGGTACTCGCGCATCGACATCCTCGTGAACAACGTCGGGCGCAGCGAAAAGGGCGGCCCCGCCGACATGAGCGAGCAGGTCTGGGACGCGCAGACGGCCATCAACCTGAAATCCGTCTACCTGACCTGCCACGCCGTGCTACCGTACATGGAAGCCCAGGGTCGGGGAGCCGTGGTCAACATCAGCAGCATCGCCAGCATCCGGTACGTGGGGAAGCCGCAAGTGGCGTATGCCGCGACCAAGGCGGCCGTCACGCAGTTCACGAAACACACGGCCGTCCTCTATGCCGACAAGGGCGTCCGTCTCAACACGGTCCTGCCGGGGCTCATGTTCACGCCTCTTGTGCAGACACTGGCCAACAAGTACGCCAGCGGCGACTACGAAGGATTCGTGCAGACGAGACACAACCAGGTGCCGACGGGAAAGATGGGGTCTTCGCGCGACGTCGCCAATGCCGTGGTGTTTCTGTCGAGTAACGCCGCGGCGGGCTACATTACGGGCCAGAAGCTGGTGGTTGACGGTGGGATTGTCTCGAGTACCGGGCGGTTATAGAGAGAGACAGAGAGAGCGGAAGAGCACTTTCTATCTTACATATCCGTGTTACCGCTGCTACCTGGAGGACCTAGTCTCCGAGGTCTATCACTGTAGG